CTTTATATTTATAAATATACCACTGTATACTTTTTTCCCCCACATATAAGAGAGATAATTCAGTATCAGGATCTCCTTCCTTTTTAAAGATGCACATACCATAATATCTTTATCTACTTATCTGTCAACAGACACCTAGGCTGTTTCCATATCTTGGGTATTGTAAATTAATGCTGCACTGATCATGGGAGTGCAGATATCTTTATGAGGTGGTGATTTCACTTCCTTTGGGTATATACTCAGGAGAGGGTCTTCTGGGTCATGTGGTAGTTCTAATTTCAACTTCCTTAGGAACCTTCACAGTGTTTTCCATAAAGGTTATATGAATCTACATTCCCACCAACAGCATACTATGGTTTCCTTTTGTACACACCCTCATCAACACTTGTTATCTCTTGTCTTTTTGATAGCCATTCTAATCAATATGACGTGATATTTCATTGTGGTTTTCATTTGCATTTTCTTGGTGATTAGTGATATTGACCACCTTTTCATATACCTGTTGCTATACTTGAATGTGTCCTCCAAAGTTCATGTGTTGGAAACTTAATCCCTAATGCAACAGTGTTGGGAGGTGGGACCTTTAAGTGGTGATTAGGTCATGAGGGCAGTCGTCATGAGTGGGTTAATGTCAGTGTCAAAAGAGTGGGTTTGTTATCGAGAGAGTGCATTTGTTCTAAAAGTGAGTTCAGCATTCTTTTGCTCTTGCGTCTACTCACTTGCCCTTCTGCCTTCTGCTATGGGGTGATACAGCAAGCAGACCCTCACCAGATGCTGAGCAGATGCTGGTGCCATGCCTTTGGACTTCCCAGTCTCCAGAACCATGAGCAAAATAAACTAATGATATTGTTTATAAATTATCCAATCTCAGATATTTGGTTATGGCAAAAGAAAATGGACTGAGATATTTGCTAGACATTTTTTTTTTTTTAGATGGAGTGTTGCTCTATCGCCAGGCTGGAGTGCAGTGGTGTGATCCTGGCTCACTGCAACTTCCATTTTCCAGTTTCAAGGAATTCTCCTGCCTCAGCCTCCCAAGTAGCTGGGACTGTAGGCATGCACCACCACGCCCAGCTAATTTTTTGTGTGTATTTTTAGTAGGGACGGGGTTTCACCATGTTGGCCAGGATTAATTGTTACTCTAATGTCATTATGCAGCATATGAATTCTTTCATATATGGCTAGTGGTAACCTCTTCAGGTTAGTTCCTGAGTCCTTTTAACATGACCCTCATCATTCCTTGTGGCATTGTTTCAGGGTTTTGTCACATGTCTTCCACTTTCAGAAGCGTGTAAGCCTGGTGGTACAGAACTGTATGTAGCCTCTGGTTTTACCTGCTTAGCAAAGAGCTCCAAGAACACCTCATTTCTGCTTTTGCATAATCACAACTCTTAGGTAGAGATTTAAAAACTAAGGAAGGGCAATTTTGCATCAGAACTATGCTACATCCTATTCAAGTTACCATGTGACTGTTCTTTTTCCTTTCCGTCGTCATGCCTGCCTTCCAGCCCTGCTGAACTACTTACACAAAGTGTTGAGCTTTTCCACCTTAATGCCTTTGTACATGCTACTTCCTCCTGCCCCACTTCAGCCTCAGTTTAGTCACCACTTCTTCTTGGAAGCCTCCCCAGACAACTGATCTGAAAGAGATGTGTCTTTTGTGTGTTCCCATAGCATTGTGGTTTTGCCTTATCGCACCTATCTCACTGACTGCAATTGTCTGCTTATCCATCCGCTCACTCCCTTGTTCCCCATGAGACTGTGAGTGGCAGGGCCTGTGGCTTGCTCACTTCATCCCCCCCAGTGTCTTCACAGTGTCCAGCATATTAGTAGGCTATCAACAGGTAATTGTTGAATGAATGGACAAAGCCCAGACTTTTTCATGTCACTCTCCCCATTGCATTCCCACCGCTCTTGGCTCATTCTGCTGCTAGACTGCTCACTACCCTGAGTTGAAATCTACACATATCATACTTCTGCCCATCACCCTATCCCAGCTAGAGAGTGAGGACTTTTAGGGACCAGCTCTAATCCCCTTTTCTATCTTCATTGTCAAGCATGATGCATAGTGCAGAGTAGGCACTCAGTAAATAGACTCTTGGTGTTGCTTCTCTTCCAACATCGTTATTAAAAGATAAGAAATCTATTGTCTTCATAACACTAAGAGCGGTTAATGTGAAACTTGTTTCTGTGCTCAGTTTGACTTCCTCTTTTAGAATCATTTTAGGGAAGTGCAACAAAGTTCCTCTTTACATTTCCCCCACCAAAGTGCCCTTTAGAAACTTTGGAGCACCCCATGCTCCTCCCCATGAAGGCTTTCATCAGCAGGCACACATGGCATTCTCTTATCCCCTGAGCCCCTTCCGTGGGCTCACCCCATCTCAGAGAACACTAGGTGTAGGCCTTATGTTCCTGTTTGCCTCAGTTCTTGCCAGAAGTCCAAGTTTCACATTTCCCATGCTCTAAACCCAACAGCAAGACTTGAGAGCTCCTTCTCTTATGTTTAGTGGCTCCACTCCCATCCAATGCCATGTTTTTACAACAGGAATTTATGTAATCAATTTTTCTCTCCCTCTTGGGTCACCCCCATGAACATACAAACATGCTGTTATTTCTCCTGTCTTAAAACTATGGACTTAATCACACCACCTTTTTTGTCTCCTGAGTTTTGTCTCCTTGTTTGATTCATGGCCAGACCTCTTCTCAAAGCTTTCTACTGTCTGTAAAAGCAGGAGCAAGCCAGGGTTCACCTGCCCCAACCTGAATGGAGTGATTGCCACAGTCCTGGAAGGGCTTTTTATTCTGAGGCATAAGTGGAGGTCAGTGCTTATTTGGATTCTCTGCTATCTCAGATTCATGTTCTCTGAGCAGGGAGGGAGCTGAGAATACCCCAAATAGTGTCTTTTCCTTTTTTCCTGGCCTCTTGGTCAAAGCTGGTGGGCTTAAAAAGTATCAGGCATAAATGAAGCTAGAGATACAAAAGACTTCCTGTCCCAGGGGTCGCTGTACCTCCTGGCAAAACCCCACACTTCCTGCTGTCACACAGGCTACCCCACGGGAGAGAAAACCACAGAACTATAAATCTCTCCCATGCAACATTTAGTGTCTCCAGTGGAAGAGAGCCCTGCAATCAGCCTGCCATCCTTCTCTGTGCTCAATTCCCAACTGGGGCTGATGCAACAGTTCCCTACCTCAGAAAGTAAGGATACACTATCCATGCAGGCTGGCCTGCCTGGCCCTTTGGTGAACAAAGGGCACCTAAATGTAAGAAGACAAGGAACTCAAACATTTCCTTCTCCCTGGCTCCAGGAGACGGCAAGAAACTTTACAGATCCAGGGACTCCTTAGGGCTTTGGTCAATTGCAAATGCCTATTTCCCCAGGCCAACAATCTCCACCCCTTCGTTGTACTGAACCAAGATGGTACTGTCTACATCAAACATTCTGTGTCAGTGGTGAATGGGAGCCAGAGAGCCCTAGGTCATTCTCTATTCTTTTCTGAGCATGGTCTGAGCTTTACCTGCTCATTTGACCTCCAGGCTAGGCTCTTTCCAAGATTCCTAGTCCATTAAGGAAAGTTCCTTTTAGTTTTTACAGTGTTTCAAAACAGAATCACTGATAGTTTTAGGCCCGAAAATCTTGCCATGCCCCACCCCCTACCCCATCTCTAGCCTTTGTAACAAGCAAAACTCATATATTTTCAGATGCTCCCGAGAGGAATTATACCATCCCTGGTTGAGAAACACTTAGGGGGTAAATGCTTAAGAGTCTCCCATATTAAAAGAAATCCCTTGACCCCAGAGCTTTCCCCCTTTACAGCCAGATATTTATGAAGAGCTGGCTACACTTCCTCTTTCTACCTCTTTTTTTTTAGACAGAGTCTTGCTCTGCTGCCAGGCACCAGGCTGGAGTGCAATGGCACAATCTTGGCTCACGGCAACCTCCATCTCCCGGGTTCAAGCAATTCTCCTGCCTCAGCCTCCTGAGCAGCTGGGATTATAGGTGTGCACCACGACACTCAGCTAATTTTTGTATTTTTTTTAGTAGAGATGGGGTTTCACCATGTCGGCCAGGATGGTCTCAATCTCTTGACCTCGTGATCCACCCACCTCGGCCTCCCAAAGTGTTGGAATTACAGGCGTGAGCCGCCACACCCGGCCCTCTACCTTTTTTTTAAACTTCACATTCATTACCAATCCTTCAACCCAACCTGAGTTCAAATGCATTCCTACAGCTGTTTAGCTATGTGACCTTGGGCACGTTACTTAATCTCTCTGAATGTCAATTTTATCAGACACAAGATGGAGATAGTAATAGTTACCCCTCTCATAGTATAGTTTTAGAGATTACATGGATTACACTACAGCACTTAGACCGGGTCTCTTACATAGGAAGTGTAACTAGCCAGGCTAGTTAATTCTCTGAGAATATTAGTAGTGTTTTAATCATTATTGGGGGTTTTATGGAAGACACCTTCAGATACTGGCAATCCTCTCTCCTCCTCTCCAATGTATATGATTTTTCTTCTTGGTCAGTTGTGTAGAACTTAAATAACAACGTTAGAAGCTACTAGGGCAGTGGTGAGCACTCACGATTTACACTTGATTTTAATGTATGATGTTGGTTTTTAAACTGAGATACGTAATAGTAAGAAAGCTTCCTTCTAATTCTTTATCACTAAGCTTCTCTTAAAGCCTGAGCATATATTAAATTTGTGCTACATTCCTTCGCTGCATCAATTGCAATGATTGTATAATTCTGGTTCTTCATACTGTGGATTTGAATCCCATTACTAGACTCCCCAGTCCTGACCCATCCTTAAAATCATCCAATAGAGCAGACTTGAAGATGGGGACTAGTACTGTAATACAAAGCGTTTCGTCATTAGAATGGCTGATTTGCTTCCTTCCTGCTATCCTTGTCATGACATGGGTTATTGGCAGAGCCTGAGAAGCAAGAGCAATTGGTCCAGTAACTCCGTATTGAATTGCCTTTCTGCAGGCCTGGCGCAAGCGCTGGTTTGTCCTCCGGCGAGGCCGCATGAGCGGCAACCCCGATGTCTTGGAGTACTACAGGAACAAGCACTCCAGCAAGCCCATCCGGGTGATAGACCTCAGCGAGTGTACAGTGTGGAAGCATGTGGGCCCCAGCTTTGTTCGGAAGGAATTTCAAAATAATTTCGTGTTCATTGTCAAGACTACCTACCGTACGTTCTACCTGGTGGCCAAAACTGAGCAAGAAATGCAGGTGTGGGTGCACAGCATCAGTCAGGTCTGCAACCTTGGCCAGCTGGAGGATGGTGCAGGTAAGAGTGGAGTTGGGGCTCCCGTGTGCTAAGGGGTATCCCAGGATAGCAGTTGGAGGGCTACTGCAGAAAAACAGTTCAAGATGCCAAGCCTGCCTCCTTGAGGGTGTTTTGGCAGGCTAATTTATATCAGAACTGTTCCAACCAAATAGAGTACTGGAAATTGCCCTCTTTTGTCTGGTCCATACCCAGACTGAGCATTGCAGGTTGCTTTAATGGCTTTAAAACCCCTCATGCCTTTGCTCTCATTCAGCCACAGTGAACATCAAGTGTGGGTGAGGGTGTCTTCCCATGATGCTGACACTCATGACCTTCTAGAAATATCGAATATTGTGTAACTCCACCGTTTCTGGGTTGTTCATCACTAAATACTGGAAAGAGAGAACTTGGCTACTTATCGTAGGCAAGAAAGATTTCCTGATGCCTCCAAATGTCTCAAGTTCTCTGCAGAATAAATTAGTTGTAAGTTTGCTCTGCGCCATTTCTTGGCAATGCCACAGTGAACATTCGTGTGCATGTGTCCTTATAATAGAACGATTTATAATCCTTTGGATATATACCCAGTAATGGGATTGCTGGGTCAAATGGAATTTCTGTGTCTAGGTCCTTGAGGAATCGCCACACTGTCTTCCACAATGGTTGTACTAATTTACACTCCCACCAGCAGTGTAAAAGTGATCCTATTTCTCCACATCCTCTCCAAATCTATTGTCTCCAGATTTTTTAATGTTCGCCATTCTGACTGGCATGAGATGGTATCTCAATGTAGTTTTGATTTGCATTTCTCTTATGATCAGTGAGGATGAGCTTTTTTAAATATGTTTGTTGGCCTCATGTATGTCTTCTTTTGAAAGGTGTCTGTTCATATCCTTTGCCCACTTTTTGATGGGGTTGTTTTTTTCTTATATATTTGTTTTAGTTCTTTGTAGATTCTGAATATTAGCCTTTTGTCAGATGGGTATCTTGCAAAAAAAATTTTTGCCCATTCTATTGGTTGCTGGTTCACTGTAATGACTGTTTCTTTTGCTGTGCAGAAGCTCTTGAGTTTAATTAGGCCTCATTTGTCTATTTTGGCTTTTGTTGCCAGTGCTTTCGATGTTTGTCATGAAGTCCTTGCCTATGCCTGTGTCCTGAAGGGTATTGCCTAGGTTTTCTTCTAGGGTTTTTATGGTGTTAGGTCTTATGTTTAAGTCTTTAATCCATCTGGAGTTAATTTTTGTATAATGTGTAAGGAAGGGATCCCGTTTCAGCTTTGTGCACATGGCTAGCCAGTTTTCCCAACAACTTTGCCCAGTTTTTGATGGGGTTGTTTGTTTTTTTCTTGTGAATTTAAGTTCTCCATTAAAAATGTGTCTTCTGAGATGATCATATGGTTTTTGTCCTTGATTCTGTTGATGTGATGTATCTCATTCTTGCATCCCTGAGATTAATCCCACTTGATCATAGTGACTTATCTGTATGATGTATTGTTTGATTCACGTTGCTAGTATTTTTTATTTTTTTTATTTTTAAAACTTTTATTTTCGGTTTGGGATACATGTGTAAGTCTGTTGCATAGGTAAAGTCATGTCACAGGATTTGTTGTACAGATTATTTCATAACCTAGATATTAAACCTAGTATTTTGTTGAGGATTTTACATCTATGTTCATCAGAGCAATTGACCCATGAAGAGTACCCTGACTCTCTCTCTCTCTCTCTCTCTCTCTCTCTCTCTCTCTCTCTCTCTCTCTCTCTCTGTCTCTCTCTCTCTCTGCCCCTCCCCACCACCACACAACGATTCCTATGTAATTTTCCAACCTAGGGTTGCAATTCACTTCCCTTCATGGATTTTGTTGTTGAGCTTCTGACATTATTGAAACATGCCCTATTCCTCGTTGGAGATTTTGAATCTGGTTTCTTTTAGCCGGTTAGTCTAGCAGAGAAAGCTTTGTCCCTAAATCCTGTGGTCTGTAGTTGCTTCAACATTTTAAGGGTTACTGTATGGTTTTCACCATCTGCCACTGGAATATCCACATTCTAACGCTAGGTGGCAATGGAGAGTCAGACTTGTAGCTCCCTCCAGGACAGGCACAGGAGAGTGCTTCCTGAGAACACATTCCTTTTCTTTTCGTGAACCAGGGCAGCATATTAAGTGAGGCTCTCCAGTAATATTGCTGAGCATTGAGAGCACTCAAATAATAGGAAATAAAGTAATGACATGTCTTTATCCTTGGTACAACAGACAAAGCTTACTTGGAAAGTCACAGTAAGTTGGTTCTGGCTAGAGCCTCTCTGACCTGCAGAAGTTGGCTCTTTACCAGCCTATTCCCTACCTTCAGCCCTAACTAGATATATCATCATATAGTATGTTATATGTCTCCTCTGTTTCTTTCCTTATCCAGGAGTTATCCTAAAGCATATGTACATAATATGTTTCGCAATAACCCAAGAGCAACACGAATGAGTAAGGCACCAGACTAAAACTGAAGAGCCCTGCCCTGGCCTGAAGTTGGAGGAAGCCACAAAACTCTCCTATGACCCTTTCCGTTCTCTTTAGCCCCCTCAGGTTTTAGAACCACATAAGGGCAGAGTCGTCTTCATCTGAGAATTACACCCGAAGGCCTTTCTTGTGGCTTTTCACAGAGTGTTTGGTTCTGTCTCCAGCAGCCACGTAGTAGTCAACACATTGTGTGTGTACCCTGGCCAGGAGCTCTGCTGAAATGCTTTTCTATATTAATTCATCTAATCCTCACAGCAGTTCTATGGCCTATGTGTGGGCATTATCTCCACTTTATAGAAAAGGAAACTCGGAGAAGGCAGGCCATGTAGTAATGGCTATGTAGTGGAGCCTGGATTTGAACACACACAGTTCTGAGTCACCCTGACTCAGGAGTACCTGGACTATTAACTTGGTTCAAAGGGGAAATAAAAGCAGGCTTTTCATTGGCTGTTTCTGATCTGGAGTTCTCGTTGGTTCCTGATTCACGTTCATCTTAAGGACCATGTTCTCAGGTGATGGAGAGAATGTTATGTGTTATGCTCCTTGAGAAATATGGGCTTTTCCAGCCACCACAGCACCGAGTTTCTTTCCTTCCCTTTACTTATAACAGTGATTAATCTTCTCTGCTACAAACTAAATTTCAATAAGGGCAGGGTCTTTGTCTTGGCTGTACAGTCAGGGTTAGTAGGCACATGGTAGATATAATAGGTATTCTGTATAGACATAGACCTATATAAACATGTGTATATACATACATATATGCACAAGTACATATGTAACTATATTCATGTACTTGTTATGCATAAATACATGTGTGTATATATATGTATGTATATATGTATGTTTGTTGAGTGAATAAATAATGTTGCAGAGCTGCTGCTGAGGGCCATAAAGCAGCTGTGTGTAGACTAACTACAGATTTTTAGGCCAAGAGTGCTGTGTTGTTTACTCTTAATTGATTGAACACTTTGCTCTTGAAACACTGGCCTTGTTTCCCAGACATTGTTTCGAGCTGGGGAAATGGTCTCCATCAGTACAAACACCAGCTGAGATTCGCGTCTTCTGTTTGGCTTCTTTGATGCTGTTTGAGAAAGTTTGAATGCATGTTATAGCCACTCTTAAACATTAACCAGGGAAATGATTTCTCCAGCAGATTCCATGGAGAGCCTCTCTTACACGCCCTCCTCCCTGCAGCCATCCTCTGCCAGCTCCCTTCATACCGCCCATGCTGCCAGCTCCTCCTTGCCAAGAGATGACCCAAACAGTAGTGCTGTAGCCACTGAGGAAACCAGGAGTGAGTCAGAGCTTCTCTTCCTTCCTGATTATCTGGTTTTGTCCAACTGTGAGACTGGAAGACTGCACCATACCAGGTAATGCTTATGCCCAGGACTGTGTCTGAGCTGGGCCTGCTCGCAGTCACGGCGCCTGCTCTTACAGTTTGCTTCACCCAATTAGTCCATTCAGCGGTAGCATTTTGTAGTGGCTGTGACTGCTCTCACCTCTCTTCCTGCCAATGTCACGGCAGGGACAGACTGCTATGAACCACTGTGAAATATGAAGCATGTAGTATTCTAAACAGAATGAGTCATGCGTGAGTCATTTCTAACCTTGCATTTTCATGTGTATCTGATGCTTAGAGGATGAAAAAATCAACAAACCATTTTTCTTTTGCCACACCAAGGGGTTGGTGTAACTGAGTGCTGTGGAGAGAATGTGGCTATGCAAGTAGCAAGCAAGGTGCTCCTGGGGGGATGGAAGTGATCCCAGCATTGATTTTGTGGTAGGCGGATGGCTACATTTTAGTCCAACTTACGTGCTTTTCTTCTCCAGTCTACCTACCAGATGTGATAGCTGGTCAAACTCAGACCGCTCATTGGAACAGGCTTCATTTGATGACGTGTTCGTTGACTGCCTGCCGCCGCTCCCCTCCAGTCATCTGGTCCACCCATCAGGCCATGGCAAGGGAGCTCAGGCTGCCCTGATCTGGAGTAGAGAAATCAATGGGCCACCCAGGGACCACGTGTCTTCTTCACCATTGCTGGAAAATTCCTTAAGTTCCACCATTCTGGTAGATAAAAATCAAGGTTCTTTACCCTGTGGAGAAAAAGAAGTAGACATTATGTCCAACATTCCGCCTCCCCGCCCCCCTAAGCCAAGCCATCTCTCTGAGCGGCGCCAAGACGAATGGAGTGCACACAGCGGCAGCAAGAAGCCAGAGTGCACTCTAGTTCCAAGAAGAATCTCTCTCTCTGGTCTAGACAACATGAGAACCTGGAAAGGTAAGTGTTGAGTCCTAAGATTCAGGCATCAAGAAAACCCTGGGTCCTCCTCACTCTTTGTGTCCATGGATGGGGCTACTTAGAATGACCTTGATGTAGGCAGCCTGTACGTATGTGCTTGTCCCTTGCTCACGCTGGCCTGATCACCTAATGGGGCTGGATCCTTAGTGGAAACATACAGCCTGAAAGCAGCAGTCTTCTGTTCCTGGATCCCCTCCCCCATCCCTCCTTTCAGCCTGGCCACCAGGAGAGACAGTTAGATCCCCATAGATGCTGCAATAGGTTGGAACACTGGTCCCTTGTGATGGGCTTTCCCACCTGAGTCTGAGCTGCTAGTGTTTTTTGGAGTCACTCAGGAATCCAGTTGGTACAAAAGTTGATGTCTTTTGTCTCAGCTCAGTCCCATTCCCTTCTTTGCCTCTCTCTCACACTTAGAGAGCCCTGAGCCTCGTTCATCATCCCACTAAACTTGTTCTTTCCAAATTCTAACTGGCTTACAAAGGGCCCTCCACAACCCTCTTTTTTTTTCTTACTTTAACTTCCGGGTACATGTGCAGATCTTGCAGGATTGTAACATAGGCATACACGTGCTATGGTGATTTACTGCCTCCATCCCCCGTCACCTACGTCAGGCATTTCTCCTAATGCTATCCCTTCCCAATCTCCCCACCCCCTATTATCCCTCCCCTGACCCCCTACCCCCCAACAGCTGCCAGTGTGTGATGTTCCCCTCCCTGTGTCAGTGTGCTCTCATTGTTCAACACTCACTTATGAGTGAGAACATGTGGTGTTTGGTTTTCTGTTCTTGTGTCAGTTTGCTGAGAATGATGGTTTCCAGCTTCATCCATGTCCCTACAAAGGACAGGAGCTCATCCTTTATTATGGCTGCGTAGTATTCCATGGTGTATATGTGCCACACTTTCTTAATCCAGTCTATCATCAATGGGCATTTGGGTTGCTTCCAGGTCTACAATTGTAAACAGTGCCGCAATGAACATACGCGTGCATGTGTCTTTATAATAGAGCAATTTATAATCCTTTGGATATATACCCAGTAATGGGATTGCTCGGTCAAATGGAATTTCTACTTCTAGGTCCTTGAGGAATCGCCACACTGTCTTCCACAATGGTTGAACTAATTTACACTCCCACCAGCAGTGTAAAAGTGATCCTATTTCTCCACATCCTCTCCAGCATCTGTTGTCTCCAGATTTTTTAATGATTGCCATTCTAACTGGTGTGAGATGGTATCTCAATGTGGTTTTGATTTGCATTTCTCTGATGACCAGTGAGGATCAGCTTTTTTTCATATGCTTGTTGGCCACATGTATGTCTTCTTTTGAAAAGTGTCTGTTCATATCCTTTGCCCACTTTTTGATGGGGTTGTTTTTTTCTTATATATTTGTTTTAGTTCTTTGTAGATTCTGAATATTAGCCCTTTGTCAGTTGGGTATCTTGCAAAAAAATTTTTGCCCATTCTATTGGTTGCTGGTTCACTGTAATGACTGTTTCTTTTGCTGTGCAGAAGCTCTTGAGTTTAATTAGGCCTCATTTGTCTATTTTGGCTTTTGTTGCCAATGCTTTCGATGTTTGTCATGAAGTCCTTGCCTATGCCTGTGTCCTGAAGGGTATTGCCTAGGTTTTCTTCTAGGGTTTTTATGGTGTTAGGTCTTATGTTTAAGTCTTTAATCCATCTGGAGTTAATTTTTGTATAATGTGTAAGGAAGGGATCCCGTTTCAGCTTTGTGCACATGGCTAGCCAGTTTTCCCAACAACTTTGCCCAGTTTTTGATGGGGTTGTTTGTTTTTTTCTTGTGAATTTGTTTAAGTTCTCCATTAAAAATGTGTCTTCTGAGATGATCATATGGTTTTTGTCCTTGATTCTGTTGATGTGATGTATCTCATTCTTGCATCCCTGAGATTAATCCCACTTGATCATAGTGACTTATCTGTATGATGTATTGTTTGATTCACGTTGCTAGTATTTTTTATTTTTTTTATTTTTAAAACTTTTATTTTCGGTTTGGGATACATGTGTAAGTCTGTTGCATAGGTAAAGTCATGTCACAGGATTTGTTGTACAGATTATTATTTCATAACCTAGATATTAAATCTAGTATTTTGTTGAGGATTTTACATCTATGTTCATCAGAGACATTGTCCTGTAGTTTTCTTTGTTTTTTTATTTTTTTTGTGTGTCCTTGTCTGGTATTGGTAGCAGGGTGATGCTGGGCTTGTAGAACGAGTTAGGGAGGATTCCCTCCTCTTCATTTTTGGGGAGGATATTTTGAGAAGCATTGGTGTTACCTCTTCTTCAAATGCTTGGTAGAATTCAGCAGTAAAACCATCACGTTTCTGGGCTTTTTTTGGGGGGAGACTTTTTTTTTAATTAATGATTCAATCTCATTACTGATTATTGGTTTGTTCAGGTTTTCTAGTTCTTTCTGATTCAATCTTGGTAGGTTTTACGTGTCCAGGAATTTATCCTTTTCCTCTAATGACACTGTGTATTTCTTTGGCATTTATCATAGCGTCTGCTTTTTCAGTTCTGATTTGATCTACCTGGGCATTCTTTGCTGTTTCTTCGTCTAGTGGTTTATTGATTTTGTTTATCTTTCTGAAGAACCAACTTTTTCTGTAGTTCTGCTGTGATCTTTATTGTTTATTTCCTTACACTATTTTTCAGTTTGGTTTGCTCTTGCTTTTATAGTTTATTTTTTCTTTTTAATTTTTGTGAGTACATAGTAGGTGTATATATTTATGGGGTATGTAAGATGTTTTGATGTAGGCATCCAATATGAAATAACCACGTCATGGAGAATGGGGTATCCATCCCCTCAAGCATTTATCCTTCGTGTTACAAACAATCCAATTACACTCTTTTAGTTATTTTTAAATGTACAATTAAGTTATTATTGACTATAGTCACCCTGTTGTGTGATCAAATAGTAGGTCTTATTCTTTCCAATGAATTTGTGTATCTGTTAACCATCCTCCCCTCCCCCACAGCCCCCAATCCCGGCTAACCTTCCTAGTCTCTGGCAACCATTCTTCCACTCTCTATGCCCATAAGTTCAATTGTTTCAATGTTTAGATTCCACAAATAAGTGAGGACATGTGACATTTGTCTTTCTGTGCCTGGCTTCTTTCACTTAACCTCCAGTTAACCTCCTTAATGACCTCCAGTTCAATCCATGTTGTTGTAAATGACAGGATCTCATTCTTTTTTATGGCTGAAGAGTACTCCAGCATATATATGCACCACATTTTCTGTCTATGGGCACTTTGGTTGCTTCCAAATCTTGGCTCTTGTGAACAGTGCTGAAGTAAACATGGGAGTGCATGTATCTGGTTGATACACTGATTTCCTTTCTTTGGGGCATATGCCCAGCAGTGGGATTGCTGGATCATATGTAGCTCAATTTTTAGCTTTCTGAGGAACCTCCATACTGTTCTCCATAGTGGTTGTATTAATTTACATTCCCACCAACAGTGTACAAGGTTCCCCTTTTTCCACATCCTCACACGCATTTGTGATTGCCTGTCTTTTAGATATAAGCCATATTAACTGGGGTGAGATAATACTCTCATTGTAGTTTTTAAAATGTTTTTAATTTTTACTTTTGTTTTAAGTTCAGGGGTACATGTGTAGGTTTATTAAATATATAAACTTGTGTCATAGGGGTTTGTTGGCTATTCCATCATCCAGGTGTTAAGCCTATCCATTAGTTATTTTTTCTGATCCTTTCCCTACTACCATCCTCTGCCCTCCAATAGACCCCAGTGTCTGTTGCTCCCCTCTCTGTGTCCATGTGTTCTCATAATTTAGCTCCGACTTATAAGTGAGAACATATGGTATTGAGTTTTCTTTTACTGTGTTAGTTTGCTAAGGATAATGGCCTCCAGCTCTGTATATGTTCCTGCAAAAGACGTGATCTCATTATTTTTTGTAGCTGCATAGTATTCCATGGTGTATATGGACCACATTTCCTTTTTTTTTTAAGTGAATGTATCTATTTTTATTATGAAACATCGAATTTTGACACATTGGTTCATTTGCTTTTTAAAAATCTATTATCTGACTTAAACCTATTCAGCAAAAATGCCAATAAATTATATAAATTCTAGTTTGGGTCTTTTTAAAACTGGGAACATAGTATGTTTAATGATAAACAACAATAATAAATCTGAGTTTTATGAACTGTTAACTTGAAATTTGTTTTAGATATTTAGCTTAAAACAAAAAGAAAACTAATGACGTTAATACATTGTTGCAAAAGTTTCTTAGAAACGTCCTCCACATCACTGTGTGTCAGCATCCTTCAGCTTCTTCTCTGAGGTACAGAATGCAGCCATTCTAACTTCTTTAAAATAAAATAATCGGCTAAGAACTCAAATGCTGAATTTAGAAATAATAATTCCAATTCAACACATTCAATCAAATGTGTTAGTACTTAGAAGTCACAAATTTTGAAAAGTAAACAACCAATGAACTAAGGCAAATAGTATTGCCACCACATGCCTTCAAATGGTATATTTTTGGTGTTCGAAGCTCTTTGCAAATTATATTTTGGGACAGTTCAGATGGATTTAAATAAAAGATGTGTGTTCTACATAAATTTGGTTTTAAGGTTTTCAACATGGGTAGCAGCATTACAAAAATATGTCAATAGGCTTAATAGTGAATGTTTTCCACTTGGTTTCTAAATCTTTATTTTCTGTGGAGGTAAACCAAAGTTTAGATTCCATCTTCAAAGTTACAATATATTCTCTATTGTTCCTAGAGATTTTAAAGCTAGTTATTATCTAAGTCCTTGCCAGGATCTTCACTTTCATCATCCTCATCCTCTTGGTCTCTGGATTCAATTTCATCCTTTTCTTCAACCAGATGACCAAGATCCTTGAGTTTATTCTCCAATGAAAGTAGTTTCTGATCTTGATTAGCCAAGAGCACCAAGGAGATCATCCTGTTCTGTTTTAGAATCTGTAATTTCCAACTC